TATAAAGACATGTCTACGTTTGAATTATATTTTTTTCTAAAATCACAGAGTTCTCTGAGTCAGCTTCAGATGTTTGCTAGCCTGGTTTAAACCAGACCCTGTTCTTCACTTTGCTTCGTACAAGGGTCTGGACTTCCCGAATATAGAAGTGTTTCTTGCAGGAGGCGTGGCCTCTGCTGAAGTTTAAAATGATTGGATCAGTTGGTTGCGACGTATGTCGGTGTGACGGAGGCTAAGCTAAGAAGCTAACCGGAAATCGCTTGTGCTGTAAACAACCCTACTGAGAGGAGAAATATACCGAGCTGAACGAGACGACTGTAAATGAGAGCTGCTGCTTTGTCAGACAAATTTAATTTAATTTGAAGCCTTATCAACACGGACTGGCTTCATTCACTTCCTCCACTGCAGTATGCTAAAATAACTAGCAGACACTGCGCAGAACATCGACGTCGTTCAAAACCCTGCCTTCTGTTCTATGATTGGCCCAGGTAAAATAAACTACAAGCAGACTGCGCAGAAAATCGACGTTTTGTTCTCTGATTGGCCCGGCTAAAAATCTGCCAGTGAAATCCATCTCAATGGAAGAAGTCCCAGACAGAGCAGTGAAGGGAAACTAGAATTGAGCGGAGCTGCGTAGGAAGGCAAGGGCCAGGCTACTGTTTAGTTAATCATAATATCTTCTAAATTTAACCAGGTGTTTCAATGCATTTAAATTACACAATCATTTTACTGGAGAAACTTGTCAGTTTGGTTAAAAAAACAGTAATATATTTTCTGTACAGAGAACTTCCTCTGCTATAATTTTTTCAAATAAATATATCAAAGCTCACCAGTTGAAAACACTAAAATGATAGAAAAGATGTTTAAAAACCTCTTTCCTCAGAAAGTGTTCAGTCCTAAGAACACTGAACTGTAACTTTTAATAAGGTCATGTACACAGTATACTCCTATTTACATGAAAATGTTTGACCTGTAAACAGAAAGCTTATGGATGTTGATTTTTGGTCTCTATTTCAAAGAGGATGAGGAGAACGATGAAGTTCTCCGATGAACTGTTAACCTGCTGACTGAGAACATTTGTATATAGTAAACTTTGTATACATAACAATATACTTATTAAATTAAATTTCAATTTCCATTTACCCCCCCCACAACTGAAAATATGGATGGAGGACCTCAGTTTAGCTTGTTAGTTTGTTGCGCTAACATTGAGCTAATACATTTAGCTTCGGTGCTAAAGCTAACAGCCTAAGCGGAGTTTCTTCTTCCATGAAGCAGCTCTGTTGTCCTCCATCCATATTTTCAGTTCCAGGCTGAGTCATTTCTACCTTCTCCTCTCTGTCAACGCTCTCTGGTTTCATTTAAAAGAGTCGATCATCAGATATTGTCCAASMTTAACCTTCAGGGTGGATATAGCTCRCTCACACCGAKGACCTATCCATGTCATCATTTACCCAGAATGCTTTGTGTGTAAATAAACGAGTCAAAGCAACACTCTGGGTATGTTTTCGATGAGGGAATGACGTAACATGACATAAAGCTCAAAAAAGCATCTTGTTTTACAATACTATATATGCACACACACACACACACACACACACACACACACACACACACCTGTCTGGCAGTGAGCAGAGACTCGTCCACTTCCTTTTTCAGCTCTCCGTTGTCATCCAGCTCTCCCTTCTCCAGAGCGTCCAGCCATCTCTCTTCTTCATCCACAGGCCCCCCCAGCATGGAGTCTGAGTCCAGGTCTGGGAGAGGGGACGTTGCCAAGTTACTGTCTTCATCTAATACACAACCGAGAGATTATTCTTTAATGAACAAAGTGAAATCACAACTTTATTTAAACACGTTTTATTCTGACGCTACAGTTTGAACCTTGACCGGGATTTGACAAGTGTAGTGGCACCTTTCGGACTAGAACAAAAGTCAGAATGTACTGGCAGTTCAAAAGGTGGACAAACAAATTTTTAAAAAAAATCCTTGTTTTTAATGTGCATGTTGTGTCCTTTCACCTGTACTTGTTTTATTTTAGGTCTTAAAAAGTCAGCGGCTAAAAACTTAAAACTCGCTGTAGCTTAGATAATTGCGCTACCTACCCAACCAGGCTCGATACTGCTCCAAAGGCACAGAGGGCTCATCGTCGTCGTCATCGTCGTCGTCATCATCCACATCATTATCAATGATCATCAGAGGCGASGGAGGACGAGCCACTCCAGGATGGACGGTGAAGGTGGGGACACTGAGACACACAGCAGCTTGTTAACTCACGGTGCAAACAAGACCAATAAACACTAAGAGCAGGTGCACACGGCTCACTTTTTGGTGCCTAGCGTCTGTCCTCCCAGTTTGATCTTCAGTCGAAGTTGCGATGGAGGTCGAGGGACCGGCAAAGGCACAGGCTCAGGCTCCGGGGCCTCTGCGAAGCTGTGGTGTTTCTTCTTGTGCTTCTTGTGTTTCTTGTGCTTCCGCTTGTGAATGCTGTGCAGGCTGGAGCTGCTTTCACCTGCAGAGGGAGAGATAGAAATAAAACATTTAGAAAGCTTAAACAAAAACATTTTTGCTGTTAGGAGATAAATGGGCTATGTGTTTTCTACTTTCACAGACATACAAAGAAAATCCAGCGCTTATTTTTCAGTCTCAGATAAACAACCACACTTGTCCTCGTTCATAATAATGTGTGATTTTGAACACTTTTGGGAATATAAAGGATCAAGTGACAATAACTTGTCATTCAAACATTGAAATATTAACTAATGTCTACTCACCAAGAAACCTGGGGTGAATCATGTCTTTTCTTTTCCCCATTGAAACGACAGAAAACAGAAATATGTGCAGCTCTACATGTTAACACAAAACCCAACACAATCTACCAACTCGTCACATTAAACGCCCTTAAATTYAAGAGAAATCTAAGAACTGAGCATTATTGTCTGTTTTGTTGGGTTCGGCTCTGTTAAGTCCATAAAAGAAAATTTGAAAACTTTATGAACACTTTTATCTACAGCTGAACTTTAATGAATTCACAGTGAACGAGGTCGACACAAAAAAATGTGATGATAAATTACAAAACATCAACGCAGCCAGAAAAACCCAAGACAAGCTAAGCTAAGACAAGCTAAGCTAACAACACCGACGTTCAACTGTATTTTTCTCATTTCCGGTGTTAACCGGTGTTGTGCCAAAAAAATCACCCCAGCCTGTCATAAACCTGCATTTTTATATTTCTTTTTTAAATTATTATCATTAAATAATTGTTGATATGTGTTTTATTATAGTAGTGAGAAAAACTTAGTTTACTTTTAATTTTTATTTAAATTATAAGTGAACAAACAACTTTCAAAACGGGTTTCTGCATCCGGGGGCATTTTTTTCGACACAACACCACAACCAACCGGCTCGCGCGCATGAGTGCTGCTCTCTAATGGRCAAAACAGGAAGTGAGCAACAAACAACAGCAACGAGCTCATTTGGCTAGACGATTAGCCCCCGGACTAACAACTGGCGATTTATTTAACATTACTGCTGTAGCTCTGTGAGGTGTGTTTATTTTTAGTGTTCAGTTCGAGTAATGTGGTTCAGGTGACCAGCACAGGACAGGTGCTGACCGCTGCGGGTCTGCACAGCTCAAGACACTTCACAGTTSTCCGGCACCAGCGAGCCGCACGCGCAGAACAGGTCAGGTAGCTAACAGCTGAACATGACGTTCTACAGCTTCTGTATTACTGTAGTCCTTTMTTTTTGTTTGTCTCTTGATTGTATCCGTCATACTTTACTTTTAGCTTGCTGTTTATAATTTGTTTATCAATGGCAAAAATACAGTGAGCTTATGMGAGGTAACTAATATTTATGTTTTTRCTGTCATTTGTCAGGAATCATGAATTACACTCGGTTTCTGACAGCAGTGAGTAGAGCCAGGCAGCCCTCTGCAATCAGGCTGCTGAGTGAGTACCTGTCACAGCAAGCTGAAGCAAACCTGCAGGTTGTGTGGTTTTACATGCATGTTTACAATGACAGGACTGAAAAATAATAAATACTCTTTATGCAACTTTTATTGTCACTTTAATCCAAAAGGTAAATAATTGAATGAGTTTAAAAAAGTAAAYAAACCAGATGGTTTTCTCTCAGATTCAGCACAGTAACTGAAATGYGATTATTTTATGGTCTCAAGTGACTTGGACACTATTGCAGAACTTTCTTCATTGTTACCTTTTTTACATTTAATCAAGCAGATACATGTGGTTATATAGGGTTTTATATTTGTGCAAATGCCACTTGTACAAACAACTGAAATTTGTATTAACTTAGCACAAAAAAAGTGAGGAAATGTGTGTTTGGTAGATTATTTCTTTATTGTTACAATGCTTGTTGACAAAAAAGTTTATTGGCAACACCTGTTGGTACCAGAAGCTAAAAACGAGWGTCAAAATAATCGATTTGGCAATTTTTTCATGTGCACAACACTTATTTAGCTCTACTGCTCATCCCACAAAYGCATGTTCCTTACAAATGTGGCACCATTTAAGAGAAAACTTAATAGGCTTTCCAATACGCCAAGATGTATTGTCAAGATGCTTTGTTAAAACAAAGAAATAATCTAACAAAGACAAATTTTCTACCTTTTTGTGCTAGGTTTATTTACTAAATACACACAGGTACAGGCACTAATGCATGTGTAACATGAACTGATGCCTCGGCCTCTTTCTYGTCTCCTGACTGAAGCTGAGCTGCAGCAGCGCTCGCCTCCCTCCCTGATCTCTCTRGCCGCCGGAGCCCCCAACCCGAACACCTTCCCCTTCCTGTCGGTGTCCATCCAGGTGAAGAACGGCCAAACGGTGACCTTCGACGAGACGACGATGAAACGGGCCCTGCAGTACTCTGCCTCAACCGGGTGAGGGATTGAGATGGGATGAGTGTTTTTAAATAATCACATTCTGTAAAAAAAAAAACCTCTTCACTGATTCTCAGCAGATTAGTAACCTCGTATTTCCACCTCCCGTAGAATCCCTGAGCTGCTGACATGGATGAAGAACCTGCAGAAGAGCCTCCACAACCCGCCGACAGCCAGTTACAGCCCAGAGAACGGTCAGATGGACATGTGTGTGACGACCGGGAGCCAGGAGGGGCTCTGCAAAGTAACACCTCCCAAAACATGAACGCAAACGCCTGATTAATAGTTCAGATACTTCAGAAGAAATACTTGTTTATAAATTGCTTTTATTTATATGTCAGAYGCATCAAGATACACAAGATTAAAAAAAACATGGACTAAATATCTCAACCTCCTTGTCTTGTACAAAAGTGAAGCGACACCGTATTGTTGTTTTAGGCAACAAAAAAACTATTAAAACAAAATGTATCAGCAGAGTAGATAATTGAACGTACAGCAGTTAGGAARGAACAGTCATTCTAGAAAGATCTCATGGTGTATTTTTATTTTTTAATTCAGGCAAATGTATGATTTTACATGGACTTAAAGTAATTCTGGTGGCAGCCTACAGGGGGCGCTGTGGTGTTTCAGCTTGTTACCATGTTGACATTTTCAGCACATTAATTGAATTATTTAGAGTTTCATTGAAGGAGYTCAGTCTGGTATTTAAAGACTATAAAGAGGAGGTAACTGCCWAACTGAGATGTTGAAAATAAATGTAAAAATATGCATTTCTGTTTAGGTAGCAAAGTTTTACTAATGATAAACAAACAATTGTTGTATTCATGTCTGACTTATTTATGACACTTTTGTGCTACTGATTTTTGCAGATGTTTGAGATGCTGGTTAACCCAGGAGACAACGTTCTCCTGGATGCTCCCACGTATTCAGGCACGCTCGCAGCTGTGAGTCTTTTTACACACACACACACACACGTTTGTTCTTCTATTCTCATGGAGATTTGCATTGACTTCCATTCCTTTACCGAACATTTCTATAGCCTGACCCTGGCCCTGGCCCCTTATCCTATACCTAACCTCACAGGTACATAACTGACCCAAAACCAAACCTAAACTCAATTTACACCTTAGTCCTAAACCAAACCCCTGATCCACCAACGGTGTTTACCCCAACGGGGTCTGGGCTTTTGTCCCCATAAGGAACAGTGGGTCCTCACTATGCTGTGTGTACCAGGAAAATGGCCAAAATCATCCCCACCAGGTAGTAAAAACATGTACTGGTACACACACACTCGTTTCTCTATACTTATGTGAATTTTGCATTGACTTACCCTTACTCTAAACCTAACCTCACAGGTACCTACCTTTGGTTTATGGTGAGTGGGGGCCTCATAAATGGGCCCATTGCTCTCCCCAAAAAGACCAGGGGCCTCATGCATAAGGAGTGCACAGCTTTTACACTAAAAGTTGACGTACGGACAAATTTAGAAAAGTGCGCTGCACAAACAACATCAGATGTATAAAACTGTGCGCACGCAGGTTTCTGCTCACCTTTATCCACAAGTTTCCTGAGAAGCTTATGTAGGCTGCCATGACAATCACTAGCCCCGCCCACAGCCCTCCCCTACTGTTCGCTTTTTTCCGGTGCACAAGAAATTCATTCATTCAGATACTGTAGTTATGATAACAACAAATTTAGTTTGTTTTTGTTTTAACTGGCAGCTTGAGCATTTCAACCATGAGTTTATGTTGTTCTTTGTTTTTACTGAATGAAAGCCTATGRTGAATGGCGTTAGCATCAGCGCTAGCTACTGTTAGCCTGGATGTTTAGCATGTTATTTGCAACTAATCTTAACTTTAAAGAAATATTTTGCCTATGGTTAGTAGCTGCATGCTGTAACAACAATATAAAATGCTTAATTTAACTGTCTCAATTCTGAGTAAGCTCAGAATAATAAACAATCCTCTTCCCTAATACATGCTAAAACATTTTGTTTACATCATGGCAGGTTTAAAAGACGAGCTTAGCAGCGCCCAGGGGCTATAAAAGTGTCTGGTTTGTTTAAATAAAAAATATGCTTAAAAAGTTATTAGAGGCAGTTTATTTATTTTTGTTTATCATTTATTTAAAATGACTGCAGCTGTACGAAACCCTCCAGTTCATCTCTAAAAGTTACTAACAAACTAGCACCCAGTGAATTTTATGTTTAGAATAAGGGGGAGAAAAGAAACCGTCTAATCATAATACTTTTATAATATTATTACAATTCTGAGGGGCTTATGAACATTTTACTTCCAGAACAGTTGACATTTATGATTTTGTGTGTTTGTGTGTGTGTGTCTTCAGGGAAAGACGAGGTAGTTGATGTCAGTAGTAGCTATTAGCTAACATTGGGACATAGCTTCATCAGTCAGTGAGCAGTGACGTCTGAGCCACCGATAAAGAGCTGCTTTTTAAAACATCCTTACATTATACAGTATAAACCTCAGATATGTGGCCATCTATGCCAAATTTAAATTAAAAATTCTTTGATAAACAGCAAAGGTCTATGCCCCTAATTTTAAACAACACCGCAACCAGAAAAAAAGAACAGTGCTTCCGCTWTGAATTGTGGGTAGTGGCACAAAATCAGGAATACTATGGATACATCCCAATGAACGTGGAACTGAGCGCACCTGAGACACCTCCCCTGACATGCCTCCATTTAAATATGTAAAATAGATGTAGAAGTGTCCAACATGTGAGATTCTCCTCAGATTGTCCTCTCTGTGGGATCAGAAATKATTCTTAGATGCAGAAAAATTATACATTAAATGGAGAATGAGTGATAAAACTGTCTAAATAAGTAGTGGAGTGTAAAAATGAGTTTGCCACTCGCAAAGGTGTGTGTGGGTGTTGGTGTGTGCGCGCATGTGCTGCAGCGGCGCATAAGGCTGACAGATATTTTCACCGTTACACGTTTTTAACAAATGACTGTAAACACAGAGGAACTGATGAGTTTGGTAGAACTTAGAAAGATATTTATTAAAGTGTATCTTACCCGCCCCCCTGTGAAAAGATAACTCT